TTCAGACCATCAGTAAGCCTTTTGAACATAATAGTTTAAACTTTCAGGTATCCTAACAAGTTAGAAATCTTAGAAAGAAAATTACAATTTTTACAAATCCAACTTTCCTGGAGAGTAGTGGAGTAGATCAATTTTCAATTTTCATATCCAACTTTGCTAGTATGGTAATGAAGTGAGTTAATTTCTAATTTCTAGATCTGATCTTCTTTAAGATTAGTGAAGTATATCATTTTTGCATATTTGGTCTTCCTAACCTTGGTTCAAGTTTCCCTGAAAATGAGCAAAGTGAATCAATGTTTTTTAGAATTGGTTTCTCTAAGGAGCAGTGAAGCATATCATTTTTTTCAAATTTGGTCTTCTTGCAGAGCAGTGAAGCAAATAATGTTCGATTCAATTTCCCCTAAAGAGTAGTCGAGTGAATCAAAAAAATTTAGATATAGTCTTCTTGAAGAGAAGTGAAGCGGATCATTTTTCTCATACTTGGTCTTCTTGAAGAGCAATGAAGCAAATTAGCATAAATTCAACTTTACCTAAAGAGCAGTGGAGTGAATAAAAAATTTAGATCTGGTCTTCCTGAAGAGTAGTGAAGCATATTCTTTTTTTTTCATATTTGATCTTCCTAAAGAATAGTAAAGCAAATCAACCTCAATTCAACTTTCCCAAAAGTCGCAATGCAGTGGGTCAACCTATTTGATCGTTACAAAGTTTTCTAAAGATTTCTTATTTATTAACTAATTCGGTCCATCTTTCAGACTTTCAAGCAAGATGATAAGTCATATGGGTCATATATAAGAAAACCTTAGGGTATGATATTCTTATAAAAAAATCAACTAGACATCCTTAAAAGAAGTAACAATGTCGTCCTCAGTCTGACTTCCTCGTATAGAGTAATTAATCGTCTATATCAAATTTAATATTTTTAGTTGTTAAAAATGGAAAAAAAATATGAAAATAATGAAAAGAAAAAAATCTTGTGATGCACTAACTAATGAGAATTTTATCTTTTGCAAGGCCAAGTGCATGACTAGGGGTTGATCGAGCGAGAATAATTTCAAACTAAACCAAGCGCACATGTAGCCAATCAACTCAAAACCTAAACTTTAGGGTTTCTAAAAACCCTAAGCTATCAGTCATCTCAATCATTGGATCTAGTGGTTATCCAATGGTATAGAATAACCCTAATTTCTAAGGGTTTTTAGTTATATGTCATTTCCAGTTGACCAACAAGCTTCCAGCTACAGCCGAATGTCAAGTTGCGACCTCAAGTCACCGACGAGCTTCCAAGTTGATCTCACAAATGAGGTAAATCCCTCAATATTTGAAGCACTTAATGCATTGATTGTTACGTTATCGATGCACACAATCGGCCTTAACACGCCTTAGAGTCAGGGCCTTCATCATTGGTATGACTAGGAGTGTGCAAAAAGATTTGATATGATCTCTTCAATCTATTGATCTAGTGATCTGATCCGAAAACTCGGATATCCGATCTTTTTTTTTATTTTCGGATAATTTGGATTGGATATCTGAATTTTTTTTGAATAATCAGATCGAATTCTGATTAGATAATTTCAATTTCAGATTATTCGAAAATCCGAAAAAGATTGGGTTTTTAGATTTTAGATATCTTTAGCCTAATAAACGAATAATCCACTAACACATTAAAACTCTAACTCAATAAAAATTATGAATTATGTGTGAGTAATTATATATATATATATATATATATATATATATATATATATTAGAAGTACAAAATAAGTTATATTAATTCAAAAAAATTAATTATTTTTAATCAAATTAAATTTTAAATTTAAATTTGAATATTCAGATATCCGATCCAAAAATTTGTATATCCAATTTTTCGGATCGGATATGAATCAATATTTTAGGTATCAAAAATTTTAGATTAGATCGGATTCGATATCTGAATTTGCACACCCCTACATACGACACATGTAAATAGGAGAGAATAGTCTCGTCGGCCACCTACAAAACCCATACATTAAATGATTATTTAGGGGGAGGCTTTTCGGTTAGAGAAAAACAAAGGAATGAGATATTCATAGAGGACTTTTTTGTTTTTAAGAGAGAAAAACAGAGAGAGATTCGAATAAAAAAAGATGAATGGGAAGGGGAAAAAGCAAAAATCGAGGAAGGAGAGGAAAGCCCTGTCGACAAAGGTAGTTCATTTTTTGTTGTTTTGTTTAGGGGATTATTTTTAGAGCTTACCTATTCTCGTTTCGGGGCATGTAGAAGGTCTTTTGGGTTCTCCAACTCTATCCACTAAGAGAACCCCATAGAGGTCAACATGGAGACTTTGGTGCGTTTGGTTCACGGAATGTAAGATTACCAGTGAGAATAAAAGATTATTAGGGAATAGGATTACTTGGAATGTTGTATTTTGTGTTTGGTTGGTTTAGCAAAAATGTAAGATTATCGTGTTTGGTTAAAGGAATAAAAGATTATTGGAATGTATATTTGACCAAATTATCCTTATTATATATTTGTTTTTTTAACAAGTTGGAAAATATTTATATATTTTCTTTAAAAAAATTAAATTCATAAAATTTATATAATTTTTTTTAACAAAATTGAGAATATAAAAAGGTTTAATGAAAAGGTAAAATTTTATTTTAACCCCTAAACTTCATATAAAATTTTAATTATAGATTTGTTTTGTAAATATAAAATAGTTTAAGGATAAATCTGTAAACCTTCGTCGAATTTTTATTATTCAATGACAGAATAAGGATATTTTTTAAAGAAAAAAAAATTAAGGGCATTTTAGTCCAAAATGCCGGTAATCCAACAATACCTAAGGAAATGGAGGTAATGACATTCCCGATAACATACCCAAAAAATCTACTACTGGTAATGTAAGATTACTGGGAATGACATTCCCGACCAACCAAACAGGGAAATGTGAATTCCATTCCCATGAGAATCTCACATTCCCCCAACCAAACACACCCTAGGCTGCTTGTTGTAAAGGGTCTCACTCCTTTGATTTTAATTTATTTAAATTTATTTCATTTTTAAAATTATAGTATTTATTTTTGTTTCTTTTCATTTTAGACCTTACTTTCAATTATGTGCATTTTTTACCTTTTTATTTAATGTCCTGTTATTTTTATGCGCTTTATATTTCAATCCTTAATTCATGCATTTATATTTTCCTTTTATTTCATATTATTTACTTCTTGTCCTTTAATTTTTAGATTAATTTATATTTATATTTTCTGATATTTATATTTTCCCCATTTACTTTTCTGTAATTTTTATTTCAGCACTTTAATTTTCTTTGTTTTTTATTAGCACCTTTATTTCATTTATTTACATTTTAGTACCTTTATTTTCTGTATTTTTTATTTTGACACCCTGCATTCCTTTTTACATTTCAGTGCCCTTTACTTACTGTAATTTATTTGTTAGTAATTTAAATTTCAGTACTTTATTTTTAGCATTCATATTTTTGCATCCTTTCGGTTAAAAATTCTTTTGATAAGAGATTTATCTTTTCGATTAAAAATCCTAAAAAAATTGAATTTGAAGTATAAAAATAAATTTAGTTGATTTTTAAAAAGTTTAACCAAGTTGAAAATCATTTTTAAATTAATCACTGGTATCTGATCTATTGATGGACTAATCCAGATTGGGTATTGCAGGGGCAGGGGCAGGGGCAACCCTCCCAACTCAATTTGCTTCGTTCACAAACATCAAGGGTTCAAATTCCTGACATTACATAAAAGATCTAGTGTCTCATCCCACTAGACCAACAGGTTGTTGGTGGAAATCATTTAAAATGAAATTTTCACGTTTGTTTGGACTTTGAACAATTATGGAAAGATATAATTAAATCCAAAAACAATTTTACAAATATTTATTATATCAAAATATAATAATTCAAATCCGAACAACATATCATTCTAAATTAGTCTCTAAACTTTTAAATATTTTAATTTCATCCTTAAACTATGACTGTCATTCTAAATTAGTCCTCAAGCTTTTAAACATCTCATTTTCATCCCCCAAGTTGTGATCTTCATTCTAAATTCCCCAAACTTTTTAATTATTCAATTCTATCCAAAATTATTTGTATATACTAATCACATCTCTTGTTAATAAAATCATTAGGCAAGTTATATTATTCTATGTTTGAACAAAATATATATAGGTTAAACTATGGTTGAGATGGATTACATATTTGGATGAATTTAGGGATGACATTGAAAGATCTAAAAGTTTAGGGAACAATTTATAATGAGATTCATAGTTTGGGGATGAAATTTGAATGTTCAAAAGTTTAAGGACTAATTTAGAAGGGGGGATATAGTTTGAAGATGAAATTGAAATATTTAAAAGTTTAAGGATTAATTTAAAATAAGGGTCGTAGTTTGAGAATATATGATGCAATTAACTGTATCATTATTTAATAAAAAACATTTTCTAAACTCAAAGATGGAAATTTAGGGTTTTAAATTTCTACCTTGCTTAATAACACAATTTACACAATTTCCAATGTTCCTTCGTTACCGAGCTTGAACTATAAACATGGATTTACCAAGATTTCAAATCAAGCATGCACTCAATTTTTTTTTTTTTTAGTTTGATTCTCTCAAAATCTCCACTAACATAATGGTGAAAGGAGAACAAACAAAAACAATTGAAATTGAAGAATGGAAGTCTGAATTCTTTCATTCGGAGGAGACCCTTCCGAACCCTCGTTCTTTTTATCAATCTTTTTAATAAATTTTCTTTTATTTAATTATTATATTTTATGAAACAAATACATTTTTCATATAATGAAGTAATGAATGGATCATTCATCCATTCTACGGTATATTCAACATGAAAAGGTTTAAATTTCTTCTAATGTAATTTTAATCCTTTATCAATTTAATCGGTATTTATCGTTATATTATCTATTTTTATTCAAATTCATTTTTAAATGGATTTGGGATTCGGATTTAGGAGTGCTATAGAAATTGTGAAGAAGGCAAACATAACTCAATAGTTGTTTCCAACTTTTTGACTGCTCAAAAGTCTCATTTACGAAAATACAAAGCTTAGATTACAACCTTGACAGGAAACTAAAAGGGTTTTTTTTGTTTCCTGCAAACTTTGCCTATATGTTAGAACTTAAAAACAATACATAAGGAGGCATGGGGACGAGCCATGATTGCATTGAATCAGAAGAAGCAAGTATTATGTGAAAAAGGCTACACCAAAGCAAATTATAAACTTAAAAACATGGCGGCGCATGCATGCAGATGGTAAGATCTTTTATTTATTAGTGGCCACCCATCCCTGGCGAAAGGGATACTTGTTTTGGCGGGTTGGGCAACGCCAGTATGGCCAGCAACGCACTGACGGCCGCCGCTATTGACCCGAACACAAACGCAGGCAAGTTGCCTCCCCCAAACGCATCGTCCAACGGCCCACTAATTACCGATATAAACATCTGCAATTTCATACATGCAAATCAAATCAGTTTTCAAGTGTTCATAATCGTGCATTCAAATTTATACGTAGAGAGACATGTTTTTCACCTGTGGGATAACTATAGACATGTTTAGCACTCCTAGGGAAAGACCTGCCACGTTCACAAAATTTCATTGAATCAGTGGACGGATATATATTATGCATATGCATATGCATATGCATGCATGTACGTACGTATTTATGTATGTATAAAGTTAATAATACTTTACCTTGACCACCACCAGAAGAAGAGCAATAGATGGATGCCAGAGCGAATGGAATACTGTATGTTACCTGCATAAAAAGACAAGAGTTGTCGTTATTGCTAAAGACTTTTCAACATATACAATGGCTCAATTATTTTGAAAATCACTTTTTTTCCACTAATTTCAAACACTTAAAAATTGATTTAAAATCATTATTTTGAAAAGTGATTTTTAAAAAAACCTCAAAAGTTCAATTTTTTAGTTTTTATTTTGAAAAATCACTTTTGGGGTGAAATTATATTTTTGAATTCAATTATTTAATTTTTATTTACAACATAATCTTAAAATAAATATTTTATCTTTTCAAAATCACTTTTTTAATAACAACTCTAAAAAGTTAAATTTTAAATTACAAAAAATTACTTTTAAAAGTATTTTTACTGCATTTTTCAAAATCGTTATTTAAAACCCATACTACGAAATTGTCCCTAAGCCACAAGGGTCAACCCCGGTGGATTCAATTGGTAGGATGCATCATTTTCCTGAGCCATGTCACGTTAAAATAATGTCAAAATATCACTTGAAAGAGTAGAACTGTTTATAAACACGACAGGGCTACCCTACTAGTCTATTAATAGACGGCATCGGATACTTAATTGACGACCGTGCATGGACTTATACCATTAAATAAAGGATCAGGCATAAAACAGTTATGCTTAGAAACAAAAGAGATGATTGGACTAACCGCAAGTGGAATGCCCAAAATTCCGAATACAGCCAACGCAGATCCTTGAACATTAGCTGGAGGATGGGCAAGTACGGGCCCAGCGTGTTGTCGCCATGCCTCGGCAACCTTGGTGATGAACACCGTCGACGCCAAGCACGCGCACAAGATGAAGTTGACGATCGCCCACACGTTCTTTACCCCGCCGATCAACCGCCCCACCGGCTCCAGAACCAGCGACGTCAACCCCAAGACGATGGAATTTATCATCAACCCGAACGAGCCCGCTCGAACACCGTCGCCGTAGATCTTGACTTCGTGTACGTTGCCTTTCACTTTGCCTCCGTAGACCTCGGTCCCCATCCAATCAGTGTCGAACAATAAGAATGGGAACCAGGCTATCCAGTTAAGGCAAGTCACGAGCAACAATATCCACATTGGCTTCTTCAGGCTCTTGAAAGCCGAAACGATCTCGCCCACGAAGGGAGAGGCCTGTTTCGTCTCGTCCTCGTCGACTTGCTTAGTGAACGGAGATTCCTTCACGGTCGTGACGGCGGTCACCGTGACTAGAATGAGGATTACGATGTCGATCGTGAAGCACGATTTGAGGTTAGCACAGTAGATATCGCACGCTATTGTTTTCGTGAAAGGGAAGATCTTGTAAAGGTGGGGGTAAGAACCGGCGGCGTATCCCAACACGTTGCCGACCGCCATGAAAAACGAGAACCAACCGTTGGCTGTTCTCATTTTTTTGTGGTCGTTAGCCGATAAGTCGGCGAGTAGAGCTCGGCACGGACCCTGCAACATGTTGTTAGCGACGTCGAGGATCCAAAACCCAATGACGAATATAGCGACGGCTCTGGGTTTAGTCGGTTTCTCCAAGGAATCGCCTGCATGGTGACCTATGTCTTTGGCGAAGCCGATGAGGAAAACGGCGATGGATACCGAGGCGGCTCCAGCAAGGATAAAGGGTCGGCGTCGACCGAACCGAGAGGTGCAACGGTCACTGTTGTATCCAACAATGGGTTGAACGAGAAGACCGGAGATGGGACCGCAGAGCCATATGAAAGCAGCCCATGTATGGGGCACACCGAGGGTCTGGACGTATGGAGTTAAAAGAGACAACTGCAAAGCCCACCCGAATTGGATGCCGGCGGCAATGGAAGCAACAGTGATGATTTTCCTAATCGAGCTTGGAGCTGGCGGGTTGATAACTCCGTTTTCCATTCTGCTTGCCAATGTTTTTTTTATCTGTAAAACAGGAATGCTTTGTGTTAATAATACATATAAAAAATAAGCTCAAAAATTCTTTTGAATTGACAAAAGAATTTTATTTATTATATTAATTGTTATTTTTTTATATTTTACATTATTAAATTTTAGGATAAATTTTACAAATGGTACTCCAACTATAAAGTATTATTTTATTAAGTCTCTCGACTATTAAAACTTACAAAATGGTCCTCCGATTATATAACATTACTTTATTAAGTCTCTTGATTATTAACAATTGCAAAATGGTCACAATACTATTTATTATGTTCCAAACGCATTCTTTTTCGTTAAAAAATAACAGTTGGCTAAGTTGGATGTTAACGTGATAACAAAGATATAACAGTCGTTTGAGATTTTATGATCATATTTTATCATATCACAGTTAATATATTAACGTTCAGCTCAGAATACTTTCAAATTTTTAATAAAAAATTATGAGTTTGAAATATAATGAATACTCAATTGTTCATTTTATAAATTTTAATAGTCGAATAACTTAATAAAGTAATATTCTACTATCATGGAACTATTTGTATATTTTACCCTAAATTTTAAGAAGTAAAATTCATGTGGATAAAATGGAACACTTTCCAAGTGTATGAAAAAAGTTAGAAGAGTAGCAGATTACATGTTTGAATTCCCAATCGTAACGATTCCCTAGATCTTACACGTCAACCTTATGCTTAACTTCAATATTCTCATGTGATTAAATTAATATAATATTTATTTAGTTAATATTATTATTCATACAATATATAAAATCTATAAAATAAATATATTTGTACATTTAATTTTTTTAATTTATAAATAAAAAGTATTTAAATATAATATATATCGTATAAATTGTTTAAAAAATTAAATACGTATTAATAAATAATACACAACTGTTGCTTAATACACCTTCTCAGTGTTATATACTATACATTTAAAACTATATTATATAATATTTGAAACATTTATTTATCGACAAAATTTAATTAATAATATACATGAAACCAAAAACACTTAGTAACAGTGGCTAATGCGTGTATAAGTCAGGGTGGGCATGTAACTCGAATTTTTCTATATTAGTTATTCATTTGACTCAAGGTGTTCATTCTGAAATTTTATTTGTGCATATCTTATACGATTGTTTTTATTATTAATACATATATATACGTACTCTAAAAAAATTATGGATCCGCCATTGCTTAGTAAACAATAGTTTCCTCATTTGAACAAAAAAACTTACCAGCTTTTTCCCGGTAGAGCTAAATATTTATGGATCTGTCACCACTTTAATTTCTTCCAAACTCTCTTTTGGTGAAAACAATTGATTTCCTGAGGTTTTATGTGACCCCGGGGGTTGGGGGTTTTGGAAAGGGGGGGGCTAAGTGTTGAGAACTAAGCTGTGTTCAGAATGCAGAAAAAGAAAGAATCAGTGTATCTATTTATATAGGGCTTGGTTTCATTGTAAATATTTATTAAAGAAATTGAATGGGGACCGTGAAATGGATAGTTCAATAATACAAGCTGACTTTAGATTATTATTTATAAAAATATTGTTTGGTAGGAAAGAAAAAAAAATATATGCTTATCTGCATGAATATTATTATTTTAGATATACATCATATTATTAAAGCAATGAAATTCTTCCGGTAGGAGATTCTTTTACATTTTTTCCTTTTCTTTTTATGTTTTCATAAAGAAGAATATTTACAGAACTCATGAGGCAAAAAAGAGACTCACTAGTCTTACAAGTGAAAAATATAAAAAAAGATAAAGATAAAAAGGATATATATATATATCCTCTAAATAGATTTTCTTTTAATGCATTAAATATCTTATTGATCGGTCCATTTAATTAGGGGTGGAAAATTTTCACTCCATTAAAAAACTATTTTTTTAATTTTAAAAAAATATATAAGTTGAATTATTCAAATTAAAATAATTTTTAATATGAATTTTAAATTTAAATTAAGCTTAAATTTATAAAAATTTGAATAACGAAAGATTGAAAATTTTAAATGATAAAATGATAGTGAAATTAACTAATCTTTTTATTTTCTCTCGATTAGATTGAATACTCAGTCGACAATTACTTACCTAAGCCAATAAGATACGAAAGACAAGTAGGCGGCAAAAGATAGATCGTGCAAATTGCTTGGTTGTAATTGTTTTGTTTTCTGCTGTTTTTGTCCTATGCTATGTTTTTTATTCTGTTCTTCTAATTTCCCATTTATTGCAATAGAATTGGCTTTTAGCTTCCACAAGGGAAAATTTGGTTCCATAATGCAACAATAATAATAAGGATAAAGAAAAAGGAATATTTGTTCATGGCATTAAATATTTCATATATCTTTCAAATTTTGCAATAATGTCAGGGTTTTGAGTAATAAATGAAAGACAAATGAGACATGTTCCAAAGAGTTATTATTCACATTCATTGTCTGTCTCTGTATGTTATGCCTTTCTTAGTGTGAAAGAGAAGGAATCTTGGTTTTTCTTTTTCAGTTGTATTACCCCCTCTTTTACTCGTTTATTCGCAGTTGAGTGCCGGATAGAGATTTTCATCGCATTACACCCACATATTTATGAATTTCGGATAGAGATGACATCGGATCAGGTTGGGTCAGATTTTTTGTCAATTCAATCCAACTCAAAAGACATATACTCTTTATCCAATCATACTCAAAGAGCATATTTCTTTTATCTGAATTTGAGTTAACCCAAGTTTTTTAATTTAAACTCGATACGACCCAACCCCACAAAAAATAAGGACATAGTTAAAAAAATAAATAGAGATGGAGTATTATAGTAATTAGCCATAAATTTATATGAAAAAATACACTATTATCCCATATCAGTTAGGAGGTTTTTTACCCTCAACCTGAACCAAACATGACCCAATCTTATCTTATATAAAATTCGACCCGAGTCCGACCAAAATTTGACCCAAACATTATTTAAAAAAAATGAAAAAGAAAAAGAAACTACCCATTTAGGTCAAGCCATGTCAAAATTCAATAATTTTGAGTTAAATACTATCCGTAATTAGAGATACATATGCTCAAATAAGTATATGAGTACCAATATCTCTTTCAAAAAAAATATACAGTCCAAGTTTTAATCCATGTATAAAAACCCAATATAAGTTTTACCGTGCTGGGGAAAAGATAAAAAGAAACTGTTGTTTCTAGAGGTCTCAAGTTCGAGCACCAGAGATTGTAAGATATTTGAGCATTCATTGCCAAATGGTTGAGATGTTAGAACCAAACCATAAATAAATATGAAAACAAACCAAGATCTAATCATGCCAAACTATCAAGAATAAAATAAATACTAGATTTATTGAAGCTTACTGAATCCATTGTTGAAAATTACCTAGAAGGTTGATATCTTGAAGATTTTCTTATGGTTGTGATCTTCCAAGAAGATAGAATTTCCTTGAGTATAAAATCTCTGACGGGGATAAGAGAAAATACGAGATTCTATTTCATGGGGTATATAATCCCTTTATATAGCTGATTTAAGAATCAATTAATGTGTGTACTTATAACCTCTATTCTTCATCAAATTGTAAATACAACTTTAATGTATCTACACTTTTATTTCCATTATACTTGTAATACTTTATGACTTTATAACATAATTTTTCACTTAATTTATTTATATTTTATGATAACAATATACATTATAAATATGTGTCCATAATTATGGATTTTAATCCAACAATCTTCCACTTAGGCAACATATGTTTCCTAATAAATGTATCAACTTATGAGCTCAAAATTTATTATCATGCAATATATATTCTATAACAATCTCTTCCATCCACTATATCCATATAGGATCAAAGAGGCCTTTTCCATATCAATCATGACTAGACCCATCATTGGTCACATATACAAACACAATTAAATGACATAGATCAATCATGGAGCATAACATGGAAATTACATTCAATGTGAACCACACATGTCTATTTCCAACTGATTTTCTTTAAACAAAAGTGAGGCCATGCTCTAAACAATAAAAGAGAGTGAATAAACTAAATACTTTTTTTCTTATTAGAAAATAACCAAATACATAAATTTCTGAAAATAAACATAAGGAAACAAAACTCCCACTCAAACAATGATATCATCAAGTAATATAAAACCCATATGAGTAGTGTGCTCATAAAAGACCTTAGATGCTAAACTTTTGTGAGTGGATCCACTATCATGGAGTTTGTTCCAATATGTTCAATGATTATTTGTCCATTTTGCAATCTCTTTTTTCACAACTAGGAACTTTTATGTCAATATGCTTTCACTTAGACGAGCTCCTATTGTTGTTGGAATATAAAATTACTGACTTATTATCATAAAATAATTTAAGTGGTCTTTCAACATTCTCCAAAATATGCCACCCAGTGACAAAGTTCTACAGCCATGTACCATGGTTTGATGCCTCATAGCATGCTACAACCTCTGCTGCCATAGTGGAAGAAGCTACAAGTGTTTGTTTGGCACTTTTACAAGATATAGCACCTCTATCTAGCATGTAAATGTAGCTTGAATTAGATTTTATTCAATTTTGGCATCCAACGAAATCAAAATACTCGATGACATCCAAATGATCTGATCTCTTATATGTGAGCATGTAATCTTTTGCTCTCTAAAGATACCTCATAACCCTCGTAGCTTATATCCAATGGTCAATACCAAAGTTGCTTGAGTATATGCCTAATAACATAATAATGTACGTAATATCTAGACGTATACATACTTGAGCATACATCAAACTCCCAATAGATGATGTGTAGGTAATCTTTTTCATTTCTTGAATCTCAAGGTCAATTTTAGGACATTGAGTAAGACTAAATTTGTCTCCTTTAACGACATGGGTGTCAGCTAGTTTACTATTTTGCATGCCAAACTATTTAAGTACTTTATCGATGTAATTCTTTTGTGCCAATCCAAGAATACTCTAAGACCGATCTCAATGTATCTGCATTCCTAAGACAAAAGAAGCATCACCAAGATCTTGTATTTCAAAATGCTTAGACAACAATCTCTTGGTTTCATGTAACAACCTTACATCATTTGCTGCAAGCAAAATGTCATCGACATATAGAACTAGAAATATATGTTGCTACCACTAAATTTTTTATATACACTATCATCAACCATATTCATCTCAAAACCAAATGAGATGACTACTTGATGAAACTTCTGGTAATATTGATTAGAAGCTTGCTTAAGTATATTTATGGATTTAGTTAATTTTCAAACTATATTCTTCGGATCTTCTAACTCAAAGTTTTCAATTGCACCATATAAATTGTTTCTTCAATGTTACCATTTAGAAATGTAGTCTTAACATCCATCTGGTGTAACTCAAGATCAAGATGAGCAACAAGCGCCATGATTATCCTAAAAGAGTTTTTCGATGAAACTAGAAAGAAAGTCTCTGTAAATTCAACGCTTCTTTTTTAGTATATCTTTTAGCTAAAAGGCATGCCTTATACCTCTCCACATTACCATTTGCATATTGGGATAATTTCCCAAGCTTTATTTTCTTGCATGGTTTCAAGATGATTTAATCATCTTTCATCATTCCATTATCATCCTCGTGTTCTTGAAGAAATAAAATATAATCATTTGGAATAGAATTTCTTATTTGTCTCGTGGATATCCTTAATGGCACTTGTTCTTGAGGTTGTTGATTTTGTTCTTCTGAAAAAATTACCACAGCTTGAATAGGGATTTGTTCAACATTATGTTATTAAGGTTCTACATTCACTTCCTGATTAATAGGTATAGAAACCTTAACACCATCAAAAGTGATAGTATGAACTAAATTAGAATTCAATTCATGTAACACCCCAACCCGTACCCGACCCGGATACGAGTCCGAGATGTCACATTGACTTTTTAAAACAATATTCTTACAAAATATCAATCATTTGAACTTATATTAAGAAAATACAATAAATACTATTAAATTATGCATCATTATAAAAAGTTAAGGAAAAAATATGTATTTATGAACAATACTATACGGTATGAACATTACCGTGAACAGTAATGAACAATACCATGAATAGTGAAATATTTCGAATATAAATTGTGTATCGATGCACTGCTATAGTAACTTCGTAAAAATACATATAAACTCGTAAAAATCTAAGCTTCCATCCGTATAAAATTTATCAATTACATATACACATTTAAAACATTAAAAAACTCAATCGTATGACTTTTCAAAACCGATTAGAACATATCGGATTTAATCCTTTATTTACATGCCAACCACTGTTCTTATTACAAATTACATATTATATTCATATATACCTTTACTCATGAATTCATACATCATACAAATCATATCATCACTTGTTCTCATATGTTTCCAATAT